AAAGTGCTTCTGGAAGGCTAGCTGGGTCATTGGTGCAATAGGCCGCAGCTTGGGCAAATATGGGCCCGGCTTTGACACATTTATGCTGGGATAATATCAGGGTTGTATTGGGGTTCTATTGGGATAATGGAAAAGAAAATGGAAACTACTATTTAGGGTTTTAGGGTTTTAGGGTTATAGGGTTTAGTAATTTTCAGGAGATGAGTCCTCATCCGGCTTTCCGAATGACTCCTGACCTTGGCAAAGAAACTATGGCGAGAATGTGGCACAGAGCTAGAGGAGTGCTCCTAATGAATCCATGTGCTGACCTAGAAAGCAGGTAGTCATTATAAGAAATCAATTCCAACATTATCCCTCGGGATTTTTTTGCTGCTTCAGCTACACATGCACGCCAGGATTGCCTTCGTGTTCCCAGCTATTCTTCTGTACGGCAAATCTGTGATGCTAGCAAACCTCATTGCCTCATTCCAAGAGTCCTTACGCAGGTTCTATTTCTGACAAAAGATTTGCAAATCCTCCGCGAAGCCCGAACTGCTGTACCGGCTTTAGGATCGAAACTGCTGGGACTTAAAACCGTGCAATGAACTCGATTGCTGCAAACGTTGCATTCTCAATGCCTCAGGAGCCCATGACAACCGAATGTCAGCCAGAAATACATCTGCAAAAAGCCGCACCCAAAACATGCTTCTTCTGGCCCAGGTGGCTCAGGACCGTGAGAGCGCCGAGACCTCTTTAAGGAGTTGAAGTGATGAGCTCAAATCCGCAAGCTGAAAGCAGGGCTTACATCCAGATGATAGATAGCTGCTTCATGGTAGGATTATGATCGTCGCGTAAGTCGGCGTTCCCTGCGAATCTGCGGCTGCTTTATGGACACGTTTATCACTGGATATTTCAGCTATTGTGACGGGTTCTTCTAATTACCGCACGACGTCTACAGCTGGGCAGGATGATTTTTTTGTGCAGCTGTATGCATCAGTACTCCAAGCTTGCTGTCATGCTGTGAACTTACTGTGAGCTCACTAGGAAACCGCAATGTAGCAGGTCCGCTTGAGGTTGTGAAGCTGAACAAAAACAAAGGGAAACTTAGGGTGCTTTTGTGTGGGTGGGTTAGGGAGGTTTTGAAGCCAGTGCCAAGCTTGTATGGCACACTGTTCGGCCAAGTGTATTCTAGGCCTGCCCCTCCTTATGCCCGACCCGACGACGCCTCCCCTATATAAGCAGGATTTCGTGAGACAGCAATCCCTCTCCAAACAATTCTCCGGTGCATTCAAAACATGACCAAACAATTTCAGCTGTGCCTTGTGGATGTGATGTGTGAGGGGGGGTTGTGAAGATTGCTCGCGCAGTTCCTGGTTGGTGGTAGTGGTTTGCTCTGGCGCGAGCACCTTGGTGTAAAAGGTTGCACGTTCCCTGTGAATTTTGCGGAGGCTCTGTGAATGGAAGGCGTCTGGTTGGGTCAGGGCAGCCGATTCCATGCCGTACACGATCATCGGAACGAACGCAGCGTTGTATATCCTCAATTTCCACTGCGGCGGGAGGCCGGTATGTCTCCAGAAGTGATGCAACGTGTTGCGCAACCTCTCCGTGACATGCTTTCTGGTGGTGCCGTTTCTGGAAAGGTGTACTCCTAGGTACTTCGCATGCGTCACCTCCTTCACCTGGTCTCCGTGCATGTTGTAGACGCTGTTCTGTGAGGTCTGTGATTTGAGCAGAACGGACTTCACCCAATTGAGTTGTAAATTGCACTGTGAAGCCACCGTCTCCACCACTGCAAGTAGCTGTTCTGCTCGATCTGCGGCTCCCGCGATTAATGCTGTGTCATCAGCGTACGCCAGGTCATACAACGGTGTCTGTTGGCTGAAGACCCATGGCATGAGGCCTCCATCTTCTAACAGCCGCTTGTCAATGTCGCGCAGGACCATGCTGTGGAGGACGAGGAACAAGTACGGGGACAGTGGGCATCCCTGCCTAATTCCCGACTTTGCCTCAAGGACCTCACTGGTCTGGCCCGCTGCCTTGACTGCGAAGAGCTGTGAGGTATATATGCTGCTGATGAGGTTCACGATGTTGGTGGGTACTCCGTAACGGCGAAGAGCAACTTCAAGCGCCTGGACGTTCACTTTATCAAAGGCCTGTTTCCAGTCAAGGAGAAGGACGTAAAGAGAACTTTCGTTGCGCTCTGCTCTTGCAAGAAGCCTCCTAACAACGCGTACTGGCTGCGACGCCGATCTTCCCGACCTGAGCCCGTACTGTGTGTCTCCGAGGTACGGCTCCAGGGCTTTCTCCAGGCGTTGTTGTAGTACGCATGCGGGCAAGGAGCTTATAGGCCGTGCTGAGCAAGCTGATTGGCCTATGATTGTTTGGGTCCGTCATTGACCCTTTGCCTTTGTAGATCTCCACTACTAAGGCTGTCTGCCATCCCTGTGGAATGGCCTGTGAGGAGATGGCTTAAGTACTGGAGGTTGCTCGTTTCTAGCCACTGCCAGGCTTCCGTTGTGATGTCGTCAACTCCTGCCGCTTTGTTTTTGGCTGCTTTACGGAGGGCCTCCTCAAGTTCCTCCGCGCTGATCGGGGCCGTGTTGACGTCGGCATGGTCCGGGATCTGGCTGTGGTCTCCTGTGCAGGGCTGGGCCGGCGGGGCCCGCTGGCTGTGAGCAAGGTGCTCAGAAGGCACTGGCTTGCTTGGAGCGGCTGTTGGGTTTGCCGTCTTTGCCAAGGATGGAGAGTCGTCGTGGCTTGCGGTCCGTATGGATCCGCTTGATCCACTTCCACTTTTGGCGGGCATCCAGCGTCCGCTCTTTCTCTGCCAACCTATCCCTTAACCACTGCGTCTTGTCACGCTTGGCTTGTTTGCGAACCTCCTTGTGTAAGAGGACCTCCTCGGCTCTGTCACCTTTCTCACGCGCGGTTGCCCCCCTGCCCTGCACTGGGGCCCAGGTGTTTTGCGTGATCCAGGGTTGCTTTGGTTGTTCCGCCTCGCGTGGAATGCGCTGCTTTGTGGCTGCGTGGACTGCTTGTTGCAGTGAGTGCCATCTGGTCTCAAGCTGACGCTGTGAGGGGTGGCTGTGTGGAGTGGCCGGCACCTGTGAGTGAGGTTTGGGCGTTGGCTGTTGCGCTGCTCCCAGGGAGTCCGCGCGGCTGTTTGGGGAACTCCAAGTCGGGAGAGACATCTCTTGCTCGAACTGCACGTTGAACGCCTTCTTCGGTTCCTCCGTGGGCCCATTTGGGGATCGGCTTGGTGCGTTTGCTGAGGTAGTGGTTGGAGTTGAGGGCAGCGCCTTGTACTGTGGAGACGTCCGTCACTATGTTTTTCCACTGCGTCGGTGCAACTGCATGATCTAGCTGAACTTGTTCACCCGCTGGTCGAGTGTGTGTGATGCGCTGCTTGAAGTCCTTCTCCATCCAGGCTTGTGGCAGACAAAGGTCTTCTTGGAAGATCAGCTCAAAGAACTTGACGTGGCTGGAGTCCCCCTCCCCCTCGTTCTCCTGAGATTCTTCCTCCAACGTCTTCTCCCACCTGAACTGTGGACCAACTGCGCCTTCTGTCGAAGATAATTCATCCAGTAGCTGTGCGTTGAACTCCCCTAGAAATGGCTGGCTCCTCTTGTGGCTGTGTATCTTGTCTTTGAGGTCCTCCCAGAACTCGTCTCTCACTGATTGCTCCCTGTTGTTGTTCGGGGGAGTAGACTATATACACTGCGAGTGGGGCCTCCACCATATCCAATGTAAACGACATCAGCCTGCCACTATAGATGGTCATCTCAATGACTGCTGGGGTGATGTGAGGGGCTGTCACCAATGAAACCCCTGTGAAGGTTTGCTTCAGCTTGCCATCCTGATCAAATTCTTTATGAGCACCATGCGAAAAAGTATAACCATCAATGACATATTGGTCTTGTTGCTTCATGTGGGTTTCTGTGAGCGCTAACCAATCCAGCTTGCGTTGCCTCATCAACTTAGTAATGGAATGCATCTTGCCTGCCTCCAGCAATCCGGTTGTATTCCAAAAACCGCAAGACAAGACCAGCGTGTGAGGCAATCTGCATGTCATGCTTCATTCTGCCATGTTCGTTCGGCTGTTGAATGTGTGTCTTGAACCAGTGTGCTCTGGTGTGTTGTCTGTGCTTCAAATCACGCTGAAGCTGCCACTGCCTTCTGCTTCCATCACCATTTCCTTGTTCATGCATATGGTGATGTGCCTCCTCCGGTGATTGGTGTGGATGTGTGGTTGGTGGAGCTGTGGATGTTGTCTGTGAAGGTGGTGATGTGGATGGTGATTGCCTAAGATGGTTGGGTGTCTGTCGGACCATGGTCTTGAACTTCAAAAACTGCAATCTTATCCTGAACTTCTTGCGTGAAATAAAGGATCGCTTCTTGGAAGTCGATGAAGTAGAGAGCTGTCCTCCGGCCTGTGGGTGGGTCTGCAGCGTGGCGCTGTATGAAGGCTTTGGTTGGTGGACCGCATTTATGGAGCCCTTGCCATAAATGTGGGGTTGAGGGGGGAGATTCTGGATCCAACTGCGGTATGCTCTTCTGGCCGCTGCCCGCCTCTGAATCCTCTGTTGTTGTCTGTATAGTCTGGTGTCCTGTGATCTATCCTTCCTTTTGAGTTGGGACCTGGAAAATTTAGGGGACTGAGAAGGGAACTGTGGATGTTGTATGTGAGGTTGCGCGGTGGGAACTTCGTTGCCGAAAGGAACACTTGGACAGCTAGAGATGCACGCGGAGCTTGAGGAACTGTGAAGAACACTGGGTACAAAACTGTCTAAATGGCTCAGCGCACCCAGCTCACCTATGGGAGGGGTGCCTACATGCATCAGATTTTTGCACTCCTGCAAATTGACATCCTCAGGTTTGCTGTGAGGGACAGGTGAGAACTGTGAAAAAGTTGGCGTCACAGATCTACACTGCTCCCTCTGGAAGATGCGCCTGCCACTTTCCTACTGTGAGGTGCGGGACTGTTTGTTCTCCTTCTTCTTCTTGTCCTTGACAAACTCTGCTCACTCCTCAAGAGTGTACTTCTGAGGATCCTGGCCTTGCCATATCCAGTATGCCCTGTGATCTGTGACAGCTTCATCCAAGGCTTCCTGTGGGGGAAATGGCTAGAAAGAATCTCTGAGCAACTCTGTGTCGTCCTCACCCTCCCAAGTGGATGGCTTGCTGGAGAGGTCGCTGTGAACCCTTTTGTGGCCTGTGGGGGTTGGGGCTGCTTTAGCCTTAGCTACCCCCTCTCCTGCCACATTGTGAAGGGATTCACCTTCCGTGGCCGTGCTTTCATGAGCACTGTCTGCCATAGACTGCATTAACTCATCTGTGCTGCGAAGATGCTTGAAATGCAAACGATCAGAATGCGAGGCTTCCAATTTTTCAAACTCCACTGGCCAGGGAAACTCGTACTTGAATCTGGCAACCCAGTTTTGGATGCCCTGCTCTTCTCCTGTGGAGTATGTTGGACTTGCCTTAGTCAGAAATCGACAGAGGCGCTTGGCATGCATGTAGTTGGAAGCTGTGGAGGCTGCAGCATTCTCCATGGCCTCATTCTCAACCTCCGACTGTGAGACCTGTGCGCGAAGCCGCTGATTCCATGATTTTTTCCAGCATTCCAGCAGTTTATCCGAATGCTCCGCGGGGATTTGCACTGCACACTTCCAGTCTGCAATGGCTCCAAAGGAACTGGTTTCTGTGGAGACGCGGCGCGCGTACTTGATTCTACCCAACCAAGCTCCTTGCGAATCCTCCAAAAGCAGCGTCTTCCAGCGAGGGACCAGTGGCTCCTTGCTGTACTTTGCGAGCGACTGCTGGTAGGCATTCATCAGGCCGCAAAGTGGGGCTCCAAGTCGCCTTTCAAATTGCGTAACTCCAGGGGCCAGCTTGATGTACATATCCGCCTTTGCTCCATTCCTTCACAATTGGAGGCTGTGAAGGGCTCGTCTGTGAAGGTTCTGCCTGTGAAGCTGGCTGCGAGGTATTCTGCGTCGCTTTTGCTGCGTAATACCCCATGGTCTCCTCAGGTTTTTGCTCCGACGGCGGGTCCGCGGCCTGATCCGGCTGCACGCCTGTAACGTCTTTTGTCTGAGTGCGGGGCTGGGCACTGTGAGGATGGAGACCGCTGACAAGCATCTCCAACCAAACTCTGGGTGGTGAGCTCCCCGTGTTGCGGGCCTCCCTCAATGTGCAGTCCGGCTTCTGTGAGGGCGTGCTTGATGGCGACTTCTCTGTCCTGTGAGGTTGACCACTCAGGAAAGTTGCGGCACACGATGGTGCATTTGGCCTGCTCGACCTGTGAGGACAAAAGGTCCCTTTCGGTCCATGCGCGAAGCTTCAAGGCCCTCACTTCCTGCTCCAAGTTGTTCACCCCACGGGTGGCGAAGCCAATCTCCGCGCCCAAGGCTCCAAATGATGCTCCCATGGCTGGAGCAACTCGGCTTTGGAGCGTTTCCTGCACCATTGCTGCACATTCACGAACTGTAATAGGCCTATCTCCACAGGGGGTTCAATTACCCAAGACTTTGTCGCCAAAAGGTGCTGTGGGGGACCTGTGAAGTTGCCTCCCAGGAAATGGTCCATGCGTTCTTGAATCCTGGTCACCTGTGCCGCAAGCTGTGCACCAGTTTTGCAACCTGATCTGCTCCATCTGGGCTGCCAGCTGCCAAGTTGAGCTGCTACAACATCCATGCCAGACTGTGAGGCCATGGCTGTGAGGAACTGAGGAGGAAGGCAGGGGCAAATCTGAGCACTCTTGAGCTTTGGGCAGGATGTATAGAGACTTATATTGGCATTGAAAGTCCGTAAGTACGGTTGACGGTCTTGTTTCTGGGATTCGGGAGCTGCATGCTGGCGTTTGAGGTGGGAGGCTTTGGGTTTCAGAGCTAAACTTAAAGACGCATCCACTCCATACATCGTGTCTGCTGCACACCAGACTTGCGTAGTGAAGTTTGCGCTGAACTTGTTGTTTACATTTTTGAGATTACGGTGTCAATCCCCAGAAGCACAATTGAGGCCGACCGCATGCTCGTGAATAACAAACCTTGCCCAAACGCAGTATTCAGGGCATCAGTGAGACAGGTTTTTCTTGCTACAAGTATGTAGTTGAAATGCGCGTAATGAATAATGCTGACCAAGCTTTGTAATTGAATAAATTGCAAAGGATGGACATAGCATGCTTGCAGACCCTCGTATCCATTGCCATCGTCATCACGCTGCAATCATGTTTCGGCACATCCGTGGAATTTTGTTCGTGAAAATCTTAGTTTCGGCATCTGATTTGTTGCGCGTGTGTCTGTGGAGCCCATGGGGTTTCCCGTGCAACTTGTGCGGAATTCTGCAAAGAGGAAGTAGTCTTTGCAAAACTTCACGCATTCTCCACCACAAACTTCACGGCCTCTTTGAATCTTTCTCGTCGAAATCCACACAACGATTCTCCACAAGTGCTCTCACAAAAAGTTCACGAACTCTTGCTTCCCAGATTCCCGGCCCAACGGCCAAGCTGGAAGCTACCTATTGAGACAGCAGCTCACGCATCTGAACTGCGACCTCGTTGAGAAAGCTTCTGCTGCGCGGGGGATGGTTTTGGCATCCTCGCTCCAAAGTCTTCCAGGCTCTGCAAGAAAGTGTGTGAGACACCATGGTCTTTGGCAATCTCGTGGAAATGCTCTTGAAAAAAAGTGTTAGCAGTTGTGCCTACTCCTCCCGACCCCACAAGCCATTTGATCAATGCAAGACAGGATTTTGATTTTGCGAAATTTCAGGGAAATTCCACTCTGCAGGAAAACTGCTGTAACATATAACCTCTCCACTCACATACGAGTAGGCTCTGGAAACGGCACCTATGTCCCATTCTCCGACAAGGCTCTCTTCTGCCTTATCTAGGAATGTACACAGAATTCTCAAGCTGTCGGCCCAAGGCCAGCTAGCACGAATCCCAGCAACTTAGCTGCTGACGTAATGTTCAGGATCGAAGTCCAGAAGTCTTCAGGGATTTTTCAGAAGCTGTTTGTAGCCTGGCAATACAATCAGCTCCAGAACTGCCTGTCCACCCCACACGCTCCGAACCAACACTTGAAGGCTGCATCAAAAAAAATAGCAATGCAATCCAACACTGCATCCGCTGCAGCCCAAAACCAGACCACGGATTCCAAACCACATCCCATATCCTGAGCCGGGTGGAAAGCCAAGAATTAGCATGGAACCCTCACGGCTTCAACGACGGCATCCCGAAGCCAAAGCTACCCCACCTGTGCGCTTGATGATCGCGGCTGCACCCAAGGCTATTGGATCGAAGGGCAACCCCTTTGACATCAAAACCTTGGCCGCATGCAGGGCAAATACTACGATCGTTGATGAGTAATGGGCTGCAGGCTGGACTGGGTTTCAAGACCCAGTGTAGAGTCAGTTCGCTGCTGGATGTGAGGGAACCGCAGCTGAGCCACGACATTTTCTTGCGAAGCAAAGGTGAGCAACCTGATCTAAGAGTCTCGTAAATATATAATGATTTGCGTCCTCGAGCAAACTGAGCAAATTCGTAGATCCAAGGAAATACAGTTAAGGGCTATATACAGACATCCCTGAGGAGCTGTCATGTTACTCAGAATTGAACCCGCTCATGCGAGGTAGGTAGCTTGCGTTTCAGATCGGAAGGGATAGAGGAATTGGTGTTAGTACTGTTGATGTTCAAAGTAAGGAAGCCTCGTTCGAGGAGGCTCTCGTACAAATGTTACGCTTAAAGATCGTGCATGCTCACATGGAATGTTCGAGGAGCCAGTCAGGCGATGTCCTCGTGACATGAAAGAAGAATCCTACGCTCGCTTTCACATCCGACATCCGAAATCCTGAACCCTGACCACTCCTCGCCTTTGCAGTACTTTTCGCCAAAACGGAACCCTCCAAGCCAAAGCCATAACAAGCGTAGCCGCGAACCTTTGCGTGAACGATTCCCTGAAAATGAGGGCTTCTTGGGGGGACAAAGTTTCGACTTCGAGCATGTAACCTCTCAACTTTCGATGACATTGCTTCGTATGGAAGCCATGAAATGGAGCCCCAAGGCGGTCCGTCTAGTCTGCTTCCCCGGCTTAGAACGCCTCAAGCCCTAACCTCTTAGCCCTAAAGCTGCGACCCAACTCTAAGCCGGCAAAATGTGGCCTGGGAGCCACGGCCACGGCCATATCCACCACAGGGAGGACGTCCGAGAAGTCAATTTCTGGAAGAGGAGGGGTTTGGGGGCTTCGGTGAATTGGGAGCTGGATGCCTGTTTGGGGTTCAAGATTTTTGGGATGGCTTTTTGGTTGAGCTCTCACGGCTCTCACGAGAAAAGCTCCTTGAGAAATTGCATAGTTGGCTCATCTTTTCACACATGCTCATGATAGAACCCTCGTGGCTGCCAAAAGGACTTGTTATGTTGCCGAAGGGATTTTATGACCGAGCACTCGATATTTGCAGGTAAGGGTTTGGATGCGTGACTCAGTGCAACGAGGAATGTGCTGTGCACGCATCTAGCCTGACAAAATGCCGAGAGCCGTTGCTCCAGGGCGCTCACCCTTCCACAGGGCAACCCTGAAACTTGTCAATTGCAACCCTACCCGCAACCTTTTGTTAAAATCCCTGAGGGCACGTTATGCTCATCAGTCTTTGCCGAAAAGTTGAGCCATCAGGGCCAGAGGCTTCAAGAACTGGCACTTGCTCCAGGATGGAGATGCAGTTGCGTGATGGATAACTTGTATTCCGGTGTCCATCCTGCGTACTGAATGGTGTTGCAACGTTCCAAGACAAAGCCCTCTGCTAAAACTGAATGGCCCACAGCACTGCCTTTACCTGAGAGCCAACACCGCAAGCACACAACCCCGAGCAAAAAAAAATCTTGAATTCAACGAAGAGCATAGCCAATCGCCGGACACTAGGAGAGCAAGCGCCTCGTTTCTCACATCTCACACCCTCAGCCCACCCGACTGTCCTTGCCTGCAGACGGAGATTGCAGCTTCAGCGATCCGTCTTTGGAGCGCTGCATCATATCTGGCCCAGGGGTCGGCTAGGAATTCAGGACTGTTTGGATATGGGGGGATTGAGGACCTGGCCGTAAGACTTATAAGGCATTTGAAGGATCCCGCTGCTAGAAATTTTGAGCTTCCGGGCCTCAGGTTGTGTTAGCAGCAACAGACTGCCTTTGAGCGGGCATGCATAGAAATGCAGCTACCTTCTCAAGGACAATCAACATCCCATTTCACCCCTGCAGCGACGGCCTCGGCCAGGGCAGAAGAGCTTGGCGTCCCAGCGCCACTGCCGGAAGAGATGCCTTGCAATCTCATGCATCTAGGGTCATCTAACTGCAGTTGCTGAGCCAGCTTCGGTGGGACTGCAATTAATGAGGTTACGTTTAGGATTCCGTGGCAATTTCGTGGCTGACATTCAACTTCACATGATGCGTCAGGACACGTACAACCTGCTTTCTAGCTGAACACTTGCTCACAAAAACGGATTGGAATTGCTCAACCGCTCCTTTAGCCCGAACGCTCAGCCTTGACTCCGAACCTCGATCGACCCTGACATAACCTACCCAGAATTCCCACCCCTAAGCACATCCTTGAAACACTGAAGCTGTCATTGCAAGCTTCCACAACGTGGCCTCAGAAGAAAGGCGACACTGCACTGAGCGTAATCCCGCGTGTTGAACACAATGTAGACAATCTGGTTCCAGCAATGAGGCTTCATGTGCAGGCTTTTTGGTTTGAATTTCAGCCTCCGGGCTTAGGCTCCCTCAAACTTCAGTTGTCGCGTGCTGGAGGCACGAGTGTGGTGCATCCGAATTTGCCGTATTGCAAGGATGTTGCTGAAAGCATAGCATTTGAGGTTCGGAGCTTCGAGTAGAGGATTTTCAGGTAGATAGGGAGGCCCTTCTTTGGGGATGGCCCTTTAGTCTGCCTTCAGGTTGTTCAGCGGATCCCAGACAGGCCTTCTCAGGATCCAAGGGGACAACCTTCGGCTTCTTCATCCACGCAGCAAGCTCCTTCAGGGATCACGGCTGGAGATCTCCAGCTGCTACAGTAGCATCTTCATGCATCTGTGGCGCGATGATATGCCTCGATCTACTTTTGTTCTGCGTCGCATCGTCTTGCTGTTCTTGTGGTTGTGTACGGCGTAGGGGCTTAGGTTTTGGGTTCAGTCTTCATCGATTTGCGTGCGCAAATCTTGGCCGGTTTGAGCCTTCGGTTCTTCCAGCCAACGATACTTGACCGCTAGCCGAGGGCTGATGAAAAACAAGCCCTCTGGCTCTGAATCCAAAAACTCAAAGAGGAATCAAACTGATGCTTGTTGCTTCTGTGTATTTCTTTATTAGTCCTTTTTCCATGAGCCTGAAAATGTTTCAAGGATATGGTGTGCTGTATCTTGCCTGAGCACAGTTCGTGCGAGGCACCTACCTGAAAGCCTGTTGTTACGCAAAGCCTGTTCGAGAAACAT